TATTATGTCAGGTAATGGGAACAAGCCCATTATCTGTCTTAGTGCTGGGGGTAATGACATTGGGAAGGGCAGGAGACAGGAGCTGCTGGATGAGTACAGGTCAACCAGAGAAGTAGTCAGGTCTAAGGAAGGGATCCCAGTCATATGTAGCATCTTGCCTAGATAGGGAGTGGGCAATGAATGGATGTCTAGGGCAATTGGTATAAATTGCTGGCTAGACACGTACTGCAAGGAACTTGCAATCCCATTCATTGATAACTGAGACAAATTCTATGGCAAATGTGATATGTATGCAAGGGATGGGGTTCATCTCTCTGGGGATGGAGTGGTTGCATTAGCCAATTTGATTGAGGGGGTAACTGAAGACTTGTCTAGGACTTTAAACTGATAGATTATAGAGGTATGGGTGTTTGTGGGAAACAATCAGGCTGCAGTATTAGGGTTGAAAACAGCAGATATTACCAGGATATCTCAGGGATATTCAAAATAAAGTTGCTAGTAAAGGCAAATCAATTGATCAACAAAAAAAGACAGACAGTAGAGGGCAATGAGTGACTAGCTCCCTTAAGGTTTACTATACAAATAGTAGGAGTCTAAGAAATAAGATAGATGAGCTAAGATTACTTGCAAGTGCAGGTAATATAGATATTATTGGTATAACAGAGACCTGGTTCAACCTGAAAGATAGAGAAATGCCTTCTGAATGCAACATACAGGGTTATAAACTATTTCACACTGATAGGGTCAACAGGAAGGGTGGTGGAGTGGCAATGTATGTCAGAGATAATTTAAATTGTTGTCTTAGACATGATATAAGATTAGAAACATTGCACACAGAATCTGTTTGGCTACAGTTTCTCGAGGGTCGTGACAAATTAATTTTAGGTGTGATTTATAGGCCCCAAAACCTTGATAGGGAGTGCAGTAAGCTGTTATGGGAACAAATTCATAAGGTATCTAGATATGAAAATGTTGTGTTAATAAGAGATTTATCTTTAGACAAATTGATTGGAACAATATGACAGGAAATTTTGAGACTAGTGACTTTCTTGATACGGTTCAGGATTGCTTTTAAGAACAGTTTGTGACAGAACCAACTAGAAGAAACAATCTGCTTGCCTTGGTTCTTGCCAATGAAGAATCACTAATTAATAATATTGAGGTTAATGATGAGCTTGGGAAAAGTGGTCACAAATCACTTACTTTCATTATATCATGGAATTACCCAGATAACTGCAATCAAACCTCTGTCCCAGCCTTTCGCTTGGCTGATTTCATGGGACTGAGAAATTACCTGGGCAGGCTAAATTGGGATGACCTGACTATGGGTCAGGGAGGTGATCTTGGTTGCTAATATGACGTTTTTCAGAGCATACTTCTAGCTGCCCAGACAACTTTTGTTCCGAGTAGGGAAATTAGATCTAACAATAATGATCCCAAATGGATGAACAACAGATTAAAACATCTCACTGGTTAAAAGAGAGGCATATATAGGCATATCAAAAAGAGGGGATGGGCAGTTAAGAAAACACTATATTCAATTAAAGAGAAAAATAAAAAAAAGGAATAAGAAAAGCAAAAAGGGATTATGAGGCTAAGGTTGCAAGGGATTCGAAGACTAACCCAAAAGGGTTCTTTCAGGTATACAGAAGTAAGATTAGAGACAAGATAGGCCCACTTAAGAGTAACTCTGGTCAGATCACTGACAGTGATAAGGATGTGTGTGAAATTTTCAATACTTACTTCCTCTCAGTTTTTACTCAGGAAAATACCAGAGAAATTCCTGAAATAATAGATTATGTAGAACAGGATGATAATAAACTATGCACGATTGCTGTAACTAGTGACATGGTCCTCAGTCAGATAGAGAAATTAAAACCTAACAAATCCATAGGCCTTGATGAAATGTTTGCAAGGGTGTTAAAGGAATTTCAACATATCACTACAAACTGGCATAGTGCCTGATAAGTGGAAAATGGCATATGTAATACCTATTTAAAAGGCAGGTGACAGGTCCTTAGCTTCAAACTATAGACCAATAAGCCTTACCTCCATAGTGGGAAAATTTATGGAATCAATAATTGCCGAAGCAATTCGTAGCCATCTTCATAAGCATAAATTGATTAATGAATCTCAACATGGTTTTACAAAGGGGCGTTCCTGTCTTACGAATTTACTAACTTTTTTCACTAAGGTGTTTGAGGAGGTAGATCATGGTAATGAATATGATATTGTGTATATGGACTTCAGTAAGGCTTTCGATAGAGTTCCACATCAGAGGCTATTGACGAAACTTAAGGCACAAGGAATAGGAGGAGAAATTTTTTCCTGGGTAGAGGCATGGCTGACAAATAGGCAACAGAGAGTTTGCATAAATGGGGAGAAATCAGAATGGGGGCATGTCACAAGCGATGTTCCGCAAGGGTCAGTGTTGGACCCGTTGTTGTTCACAATTTACATAAATGACATAGATGAGGGAATAAATAGAGACATAAGGAAATTTGCTGATGACCCCAAAATAGGCTGGCCAATTCATTCTAATGAGGACTAAAGCACTCCAGGATGATTTGAATAGACTGATGCAATGGTCGGAGAAGTGTTTAATATAGACAAATGCAAAGTTCTAAATGTTGGACAGGAAAATAACCATGCCACATATAAACTAAATAATGCAGATCTTAATACTACTGATTGCAAAAAAGGATTTAGGAGTTCTGGTTAGCAATACTCTAAAACCAAGACAGCAGTGCATTAGTGTTTGCAATAAAGCTAACATAATCCTTGGCTTCATATCTAGAAGTATAAATAATAGAAGTTCTCAGGATGTTCTTCAACTTGATATATCCTTGGTTAGGCCTCATTTAGATTATGCTGCACGGTTCTTGTCACCCTATTACGGAATGGATATAAATGCACTGGAAAACGTACAGAGGAGGATGACAAAGTTGATCACATGTATCAGAAATCTTTCCTATGAGGATAGACTGAGGCCCTGAATCTGCACTCTCTCAAAGGGCGTAGAATTAGGGATGATATGATCAAGGTGTATAAATGGAAAACAGGAATAAATAGAGGGGATGTAAATAGCATACTGAAAATCTCCAGCCAAGACAGGACTCGCAGCAATGGTTTCAAGCTGAAAAAATTCAGATTCAGGAAGGATATAGGAAAGCACTGGTTTGGTAATAGAGTTGTGGATGAGTGGAACAAACTCCCGGGTACAGTTATAGAGACTAAAACATGTAATTTTAAAAATAGGTTAGATAAATACATGAGTGGGTGTGAGTTGAACCTGACTAGCTTGTGCTACTAGGTCTGATGCCTTGCTCCTTCCTTAAGTGGAAGTGACCTGACTAGGTGGGTCATTGGGCTAATCTGGAGGGGGAGGGGACATGGACCTGCTTCACAGGGGTAGTAGGCCTGGTGCAGTGTTCCTTCTTTCTTATGTTTCTAGTTTTGTAAGATCTGGATATCTAAAAAAAAGTTTTTTTTTTTTTCTGGGGGGGGGGGGGTGTCCCAGGACCAAAACCCCATTTTTCCCATAACTTCGTCAGTTGATATATCACGGATTTATTTAACACATCATTTTCAGGAACGTAACTACTGTGTAATATGAAGATCTACTGTATTTAACAAGAAAGCAGTGTAGTTTAGAAATGACAATGGTGGCACAGTGATGAGTAACATGACTGTACTAGTGTACTAGTACAGTGATGAGCAACATGACTGTATTAGTGTACTAGTACAGAATCATCACCAGCATACTAGTACACTAGAGAGACAGCCATCACCTGTGTACTAGTACACTAGAGACAGTAATCGTCTGTGTACTAGTACACTAGAGACAGTAATCGCCTGTGTACTAGTACACTAGAGAGACAGTCATCACATGCATATTAGTACACTAGAGAGACAGTGATCACCTGCATACTAGTACACTAGAGAGACAGTAATCACCTGTGTACTAGTTCACTAGAGAGACAGTCATCACCTGTGTTCTAGTACACTAGAGAGACAGTAATCACCTGTGTACTAGTACAGTAGAGAGAGAGTCATCACCTGCATACCAGTACACTGGAGAGAGTGTCATCACCTGCATACTAGTACACTAGAGAGACAGTAATCACCAGTGTACTAGTACACTAGATAAACAGTCATCACCTCTGCACTAGTACACTAGAGAGAGTATCACCTGTGCACTGGTGGCTGAAGCTCCCGCTTCACACATGGAGGGCCTGGGTTCGATTCCCGGCGAGTGGAAACATTTCGACATGTTTCCTTACACCTGCTGTCCTGTTCACCTACCAGCAAATAGGTACCTGGGTGTTAGTCGACTGGTGTGGGTCGCATCCTGGGGGACAAGATTAAGGACCCCAATGGAAATAAGTTAGACAGTCCTTAATGATGCACTGACTTTCTTGGGTTATCCTGGGTGGCTAACCCTCCAAGGTTAAAAATCCAAACGAAATCTTATCTTATCTTATTAGTACGCTAGAAAGACAATCATCACCTGCATGCTAGTACCTGTGTTATTCTGATATAACAGACACCCTTTATTAGTTCATTATCTTGAGGATTTACTTAATCAATTTTTTTTAAATGCCAAATAAAAAATAAATGATGGTCAGAACTGAAACAAAAAAAACTTGAGGCTGCAGTGCATGCCATGTTGCTATTGTTTTTGAGTGCCACCTTGGGTACACATACCATGAGTTCACCACCTGTCCCAGGCTATCTCAGCAGAGCAGTTTTTAGACAAACCATAAACACTTCAGCATTCATCTTTTCCAAAACTACACTTTTCTGGGATAAGAGTTCTCAGGAGAGTTTCCCATGAAGGGTTAATTCATTTTTTATTTCATCCCACTCAAATGAATTATTATGACTTGAAAATTTGATAACCAGGAAGACCCTGTAGGTTCGACTGAATCTACATATGGACCAGAACAAGCAATGTCAATAATGTACCGTACATTCCTTAGCAGGTAACTTAAACTTACTCATAAGTACGTGTAGACTCTCGAGCACACGAGTCGGCTTCTCCCCTAGTGCCGTACCAGTCGTTTTTGTTGGAGGCGGAGTTAACAGATACTGCAGTAACTACTGGTTTGCAGGAGGCACGTTCAGCTAATTTCTTCTCCAGATCCTTCTGGATTGGCACCGGAATACGCGGGAAGAGGGTGGAGTACCAGTCCAACTTGGAGAGCATGTGACGTACTATTTGTCCAACTGTCGTCGTCTGCCCCCCCCCTGCCCGCACATCAATTTCCTAGCAGGGAGAAAATAAAAAAAACAAATCTAAGATGTCTAAAAAAAAAAGTAAGTCTCAATCTCACTATCTACAATTAAAATTACCAAAAAAGCTGCTCTTGGAATGGAGTTGAAGAGTTGGCAAGCTTAAAGCCTAAAGTTTGCAACAAATAAATTAATCATAAAATATTGTACATAATGTAGTTCAACGGAATTTGAATTATCGAAGACCTGTGATTATCATATCTGTTATTGTTACATGTTATTAAAAAAAAGTGTGTGTAGTCAATGATGGATGTTTTCTTTAGCTACTCTCATACTGTAGTGGAGTCTCCCTAGGTAGTGTCTGCTCCAGTCTCTCCACCTCCACGCTAGCCTCTCGGTAAATTGCCTTTACATTATTTTCTATTTTTTCCATTACATGTGCTTTCCATCATTGCCTGTTCCTTCCCTTTTATATTCTGACTCACATGCAATCATTAACAGCTTGACTGATCACATATCAGGACTGAGCCTACACCACTCCTTAAGCTCAATGATCAACTTGGTTTTATTGCTGCTTTGTGAACAACCTGACTCTTTGTAAATTACAGAAGTGGTGAGGGTTGAACCCATGGCAAGCAAGTCCTAGAACTCAAGAGCCAGTTCATTAACTACTTGGCCAGTTAGCTGTAATAAGATTCACCCAAGTAGGTATATTTCTATATACAAGTGTGGCTGTGGTGAACTCTAGCTCAAGTCCCTTCAAACCCACCATTATGACTCTCAAAATCGTAATAACATGATTGAAAACAAATCATGAAGCAGGTGTGTTATGAAGGTATGGCAAGCGAGTGCTAAAATTCCACAGCCAGTTGGCTGTGGAAGTCATCTGTAAAATCATGTATTTGTGGTCACAGTGGTGGCCATGTTAACTTCCTATGATGTATAGAAATATACCAAGTTGTATGAATCTTACTGTAGCCAGCCAGCCCAGTGGTTAAAATACTGCCCTGTCAGTTTTACCACTCACTTGTCATGAGTTCAAACCCCACTCATTCCATGATTTGTTTGCAACTGTGTTATTACAATTTTGTGAGTCCTGACTCTCATAAATATGGAGAAGGTGATCTGTCACAAATCTTCATTTACCATACTTCACTTTTATAATAACACAATCAACAAGTAAAATTCCCCAGCTAATATTTCTGGTGGCTCTTCAAGTGTGTTCAACATTTTAAAAACATTATAAATATATTGTCATAGTATTATATACAGTGACCCCCACAAGAAGTGTCCCTAACAGGTGAAGTTAACTATAGAATAGATGAAGGAAAAAAGGTGAGTGGTGCATTGAGGTATATGTGGAGACAAAAAACATTATCTATGGAGGCAAAGTAGGGAATGTATGAAAGTATAGCAGTACCAACACTCTTATATGGGTGTGAAGCTTGGGTTGTAAATGCTGCAGAGAGGTGGTGGTGGAGATGTCCTGTCTAAGGGCAATGTGTGGTGTAAATATTATGCAGACAATTCGGAGTGTGGAAATTAGGAGAAGGTGTGGAGTTAATGGAAGTATTAGTCAGGGGGCTGAAGAGGGGTTGTTGAGGTGGTTTAGTCATTTAGAGAGAATGGAGAGCGTATAAATCTGTAGGGAAAGGAAGGTGGGGTAGGGGGTCGTCCTCAAAAAGGTTGGAGGGAGGGGGGGGAAAAAGGAGGTTTAGTGGGTGAGGGGCTTGGACTTCCAGCAAGCATGCATGAGCATGGTAGATAGGAGTAAATGGAGACGAATGGTATTTGGGACCTGACGAGCTGTTGGAGTGTGACCAGGGTAATATTTAATGAAGAGATTCAGGGAAAGTACATCTTTATATGTATATGCTTCTAAACTGCTGTGTTCTGGGCACCTCTGCAAAAACAGTGATTTTGTATGAGTGAGGTGAAAGTGCTGAATGATGAAAGTATTTTTTGGGGGGATTTTCTTTCTTTTTGCGTCACCCTGCCTCGGTGGGAGACGGCCAACTTGTTGAAATAAATAAATAAATATATAAATAAATATACATATATATATACAGTGGACCCCCGGTTAACGATATTTTTTCACTCCAGAAGTATGTTCAGGTGCCAGTACTGACCGAATTTGTTCCCATAAGAAATATTGTGAAGTAGATTAGTCCATTTCAGACCCCCAAACATAGACGTACAAACGCACTTACATAAATACACTTACATAATTGGTCGCATTCGGAGGTGATCGTTATGCGGGGGTCCACTGTGTATGTATATGTGTGTGTGTGTGTGTGTGTGTGTGTTGTGTGTGTGTGTGTATATATATATATATATATATATATATATATATATATATATATATAATATATATATATATATATATATATATATATATATATATATATACACACACACATATATAAGAGGAGACAGTTAGGGTAAGATATAAGCAACTACTGGAGGATAGATGGACTAGTGAGAGTATAGGCAATGGGGTCGAAGAAGTAAGGGGTAGGTTTAAAAATGCAGTGTTAGAGTGTTCAGCAGAAGTTTGTGGTTACAGGAAAGTGGGTACGGGAGGGAAGAGGAGCGGTTAATGGAATGATGATGTAAAGAGAGTAGTAAGGGAGAAAAAGTTGGCATATGAGAAGTTTTTACAAAGTAGAAGTGATGCAAGGAGGGAAGAGCATATGGAGAAAAAAAAGAGAGGCTAAGAGAGTGGTGAAGCAATGTAAAAAGAGAGCAAATGGGTGGGTGAGATGTTATCAACAAATTTTGTTGAAAACAAGAAAAAGTTTTGGAGTGGGATTAACAAGTTGAGGAAGCCTTGGGAAAAAATGGATTTGTCAGTTAAAAATAGGAGAGGAGAGTTACTAAATGGAGAGTTAGAGGTATCGGGAAGATGGAAGGAATATTTTGAGGAATTGTTAAATGCTGATGAAGATAGGGAAGCTGTGATTTCACGTGCAGGGCAAGGAGGAATAACATCTTGTAGGAGCGAGGAAGAGCCAGTTGTGAGTGTGTGGGAAGTTCGTGAGGGCAGTGGGTAGAATGAAAAGGAGTAAGGCATAAAGAGATAAAGACAGAAATGATAAAAGCAGGTGGGGATATAGTTTTGGAGAGGTTGGTGCAATTATTTAATAAATGTATGGAAGGGGGTAAGGTACCTAGGGATTGGCAGAGAGCATGCATAGTTCCTTTCTATAAAGGCAAACGGGATAAAAACGTGTGCAAAAATTGTAGGGTAATAAATCTGTTGAGTTAACCTCTTCTCCTATATATATTACCAAATGTAAAATGAGAAACTCTCGTTTTTCCTTTTTTGCCACCCCGCCTTGGTGGGATATGGCTGGTGAGTTGAAAGAAAAGAAAGAATTCTGTTGAGTATACCTGGTAAAGTGTATGGTAGAGTTATTATTGAAAGAATTAAGAGTAAGACGGAGAGTAGGACAGCAGATGAACAGGGAGGCTTTAGGAAAGGTAGGGGTGGGTAGTCCAAGTGTTTACAGAGAAACATATAAGCGAACAGTATTTAGATAAGGCTAAAGAAGCTTCTGTGGCATTTACGGATTTGGAAAAGGTGTATGACAGGGTGGATAGGGGGGCAATGCAGCAGATGCTGCAGGTGTATGGTATAGGAGGTAGGTTACTGAAAGCAGTGAAGAGTTTTTACGAGGATTGTGAGGCTCAAGTTAGAGTAAGTAGGAAAGAGGGAGATTATTTCCCAGTAAAAGTAGGCCTTAGACAAGGATGTGTGATGTCACTGTGGTTGTTCAATATATTTATAGATGGGGTTGTAAGAGAAGTGAATGCGAGGGTCTTGGCAAGAGGCGTGGAGTTAAAAGATAAAGAATCAAACATAAAGTGGGAGTTGTCACAGTTGCTCTTTGCTGATGACACTGTGCTCTTGGGAGATTCTGAAGAGAAGTTGCAGAGGTTGGTGAATGAATTTGGTGGGGTATGTAAAAGAAAATTAAAAGTGAATATAGGAAAGAGTAAGGTTACGAGGATAACAAAAATATTAGGTGATGAAAGATTGAATATCAGATTGGAGGGAGAGAGTATGGAGGAGGCGAATGTATTCAGATATTTGGGAGTGGACATGTCAGCGGATGGGTCTATGAAAGATAAGGTGAATCATAGAATTGATGAGGGGAAAAGGGTGAGTGGTGCACTTAGGAGTCTGTGGAGACAAAGAACTTTGTCCTTGGAAGCAAAGAGGGCAATGTATGAGAGTATAGTTTTACCAATGCACTTATATGGGTGTGAAGCATGGGTGATGAATGTTGCAGCGAGGAGAAGGCTGGAGGCAGTGGAGATGTCATGTCTGAGGGCAATGTGTGGTGTGAATATAATGCAGAGAATTCGTAGTTTGGAAGTTAGGAGGAGGTGCGGGATTACCAAAACTGTTGTCCAGAGGGCTGAGGAAGGGTTGTTGAGGTGGTTCGGACATGTAGAGAGAATGGAGCGAAACAGAATGACTTCAAGAGTGTATCAGTCTGTAGTGGAAGGAAGGCGGGGTAGGGGTCGGCCTAGGAAGGGTTGGAGGGAGGGGGTAAAGGAGGTTTTGTGTGCGAGGGGCTTGGACTTCCAGCAGGCATGCGTGAGCGTGTTTGATAGGAGTGAATGGAGACAAATGGTTTTTAATACTTGACGTGCTGTTGGAGTGTGAGCAAAGTAACATTTATGAAGGGGTTCAGGGAAACCGGCAGGCCGGACTTGAGTCCTGGAGATGGGAAGTACAGTGCCTGCACTCTGAAGGAGGGGTGTTAATGTTGCAGTTTAAAAACTGTAGTGAAAAGTACCCTTCTGGCAAGACAGTGATGGAGTGAATGATGGTGAAAGTTTTTCTTTTTCGGGCCACCCTGCCTTGGTGGGAATCGGCCAGTGTGATAATAAAAAAAAAAAAAAATAAATATATTATATATATATATATATATATATATATATATATATATATATATATATATATATATATATATATATATATATATATATATATATATTATATATATATATATATATTGTATA